AATAAAATTTATTATCATTACTAATAAGTTAAATTTGATACAATTACATATTTGAAATAAATGGAAATAATAAGAAATGAAATAAATGTATGAATGATATATATTTATATAAATAATATTAAATAAAAATAATAATATCATTATTCTTATTATCATATTAAATTATCATTAATGTTAATATATTGTAATGATAATTTGATTGTATATTTTATTTATAATATGAATAAAGAATAAAAGAATGATAAAATATAAAATAATTTATTTTCATTGATATTCATCATTTATTTAAATAAACATATGAATTGTTATATTTTTATAAGTTAATGAAAATAATAAATAGTAATTTCATTAAATACAATAATATTAATAAAATATAAATATTCAGATTTCATTTTTTTAATTAATTGATAATTTCATTATCATAAATTCAATATTTAAATATAATATTTATTGTTAATGTTGTTATATACATTATTCAAAATATCATTTATATTATTTATATCAATACATAATACAAATCAAAATATTTCAAAATTTGATATTTGAACAATAATTTATAATAAATAATTTAAATATAAAATAAATTACATAATAAATCATTATCAAAATAAGAAGAGAATAAATAGAATAATTCATTTGTTTATTATATTGAATTTATTTTCATTATTAAAATGATATAAAAATTATTATTCTCATATTTAATTATCTATTTTTAAATAATTATTAATATATTTCATTTAAATACATTGTTTATTGATAATGAAAGAAATATAAATGAATTTAAAATAATATAAAGATATAATATTAAATAACAGACATATCAACAAAATGATTATATGAATAATAAGAAATGAATAATTGATTGAATTTAATACACTCTATTTTATTATAGAGAATATTTCTAATACATGAGAATTTGAATAATTATATTATAATACATTATCAGAAATGAAAATATAAAATATCAGATATTTCATAATTATAATAATAAATGATTATAATATCATATTTAAATATTGTAATTAATAAATGTAATATTCTTATTGATAATATTATATTGATTATTTATGAATAATGTTATTCTTTATTTTATTTGTAATTACTTATTACAAATTCAAATACATTGTTTTATCATATTTTTCATTTAATTTGATTATATTCATTAATAGAAATCTTCTTATAAATCATTTTCTTCTTTATTTATTTATTTTGATTCTCTTTTATTATTTCTATCATTTATTTTATTTTTTATTTGTTTTAATCTTAATTTTGATATTCGTTATACATCATTTGTATTTTATTATGATATTTATTTATATTATTATAATGTTATTTGTTTCTATTTAAATCATTGTTGAAAATACTTATGATGATGAAACAATGAAATAATTCATTATAATTGTTATAAATAGTATGATCAGTAATCTGATAATTAATTTATTTCTATCAATACGAATATAATTATTTTACTCATTCTTCTATCATTACCATTTCTTGTTTGCTATGATTGTTCATTCTTTATT